GTTTCTCATGAACAATTCCAGCTATAAACACTTCCAGATGTAGGGTGGGCCTTTGCTCAGTCCTCCAAGGAACTAGAATAGTTGCTTTTCAATTTATTTATAAATGATCAGAAGATATAGTTGAGCAACGAGATATCCAAATTTTGAGATAGAATAAATCATTCAGGGTGGGAAAAAGCAAAAGAGATGCTTGAGGGAAAAAGGCAAGTGCAGTTCAGTATAAATGTAAACCAATGGGAGCAAAATGGAAATGATAAAAAATTCATCATAAAAAATATCACAGATGGGGGTGGAGAGTCAGTTAAAATATCATGGGAGTATGGCAACTGTGAAAAGGTGAATGTTATGCTGGCTTTTATTAAGAACTAGATGGAAAGCAGTCAATACTGTCAATACTTTATACAAATCAATAATGAATCTAGAATCTGGAATAACAAGAGTTGCTAGAAAGGAGTATCTAAAACAACCAGGAGGAACGGAGCAACTGCTACTGTGTTTTCCGCTTTATTTCTTCCCACCTTCAGCTCATCTTTATGAGAAATTCATAACAAACAGTGGAAGAACTTGATGCCTGGTTGAATGTTGAAAATAATTATTTTAAGATATGGTAACAGCCAACAAAGTAACAGCTTTAGAATGGAATTAAATAAATTCATAGATATTAAGACTATCCATGCTATGATGGCTCTGTGTGTATTTATAGGATCAGAGGCAATATGATTTGAGGTGGCAACTGATGGGAAACAATAGGGACGTTGTAAGTTGTTCTCAATTCCACTCATCTGTACAGTTTGTAAAAAAGAAAAAAAACTGCTTTTAACATGCAGTGCCAAAAAAGAACAAGGAAAGCTCAAAGATAACAGAATCAAAATAAACAACATGACAGCAATAGCACTTAGACTTATATACAGCTTCACAGAGTTTTACAGCCCTCTCTGAGCGGTTTACAGAGTCAGCATAGTGCCCCCAACAATCTGGGTCCTCATTTTACCAACCTTGGAAGGATGGAAGGCTGAGTCAACCTTGAGCCGCTCAGAATCGAACTCCTGGTGTGAGCAGTGAGTTAGCCTGCAGTAAGTACTGCATTCTAACCACTGCACCACCAAGGCTCTATGATAATATTAAAGTATAGTAGGTAGGAAGACAGGTAGGTAAATAAATAATATTCATGCATGGAAAAAAAATCAGTTTTTTAAACAACTGATAAACCATAGATCATGCAGAAGAGAATTGGTCTTCCTTTTCCCCAAAAGAAAGTGTGCTTGAAGAACACAACTTTATAACTTCAAAGTATTGTATAAACATATTATAAATTCCAAGATTTTAATGTCAAGTATGGAAGGTCTTTTCATCACAGTAAAGCAGTCTAATTAGCTATAGTCCATGCACAATAAATCCAGAGCACTCAGTGCAATAATAGGTCCCACATTTTTGAATATAGGTCAACATTGCATTGACATATTTAAATCTTACTTCTTTTGCCAGCATTATAAGTTTATAAATATTAATCGAGAAAGAAATAATCTTGGAATAGCCCCAGAACACATGTGTCAATATCTAGTCCACTATTGTACTGAGTTTGATTTCTAGCCCTTACTAAACATCCTCAGTCTGAAGTATCCAAATCACTCAATGTGGGATTTGTTGTTGAATTGCAAAAGTGCATCTTAATAGCAATATATAGAAATTTTAAACTCCTAATCCATTGATTTTTTAAAAAAATGGGAGATTCCAATTTTTATTCTATTCCAATTCTATTTTTCTTGTAACTTACCAATATTTGTCTTTATAAAACTGCTCTGTTGTCTGTTAAAAATAAATTGTAGGCTTGGAATCATCCAAAAACTCTTAGTAGTGATCATAATATTTGAGAGGTTTCATATGCTTCTCATATGTCTGGTCCAAATTATGCAATATTAACTGAATATATTACCATTCGGCAGATTTCAACAATCTGAACATTCCTGCAACATCAGAAATGTTTTAAAATACTGATTAACCATACAACTGATATAAACTATTTATTCTATTTTTGTTCCATGAGCGCAACATAGAAAGAAAACAAAATCAGTTACTATACCAGAAATTCTGAAACAGAAATTGTCTCAAAGAGTTGGTTTTCATAGAGACAGATATCAGGCTTAAGTTTCTTACTCGTCAACATCCAAATATGTCTTGCAGATTTTTAATGCCAGAAATACAACTGGCATGGGCAAAATCCAGAACTAGCATTTACTCAAATTCTAAGGGAATTAAATAGTAAGCTAGTTTATACCTTTGCACTTGATGGACAGGAAAATGCCACAACCTCGGCTGAGACAAGGGCATTCATAGCAGATGATATCCAGGGGTGGGCTGCGGAGGGACTGTAGAGGTTCGGGAGTACCTCTAGCTAAGATTCTGTGCAGTTCGGAGAACCCCCAATTCCTACTCCTGGCTGGCCCTGCCCACCCCACCCCGCCCCTCCCAGGAGACCCCACATGGCCCATTTTGGATTCAGGTAAGTGCAGGTCGTGTGCAGAGGCTTGGGGAGGGTGAAAAACAGATCTACCTGAAGTTCGGGAAGGCCAGAACCTGGGGATGCTGTTTTCGCCCTCCTGGAGGCTCAAGAAAAGCCTCTGGAGCCCAGGGAGGGCAAAAACAACCCACCCCCCCCCCCCCCCACCCCACCATGGTGCAGGAGGCCGACTAGACCACGCCCACCATGGCCACACCCATCCAGCAACCGGGCTAAAATTTTTGAAGCCCATCCCTGATGCTATCCTGGCATATGCTAGATATAAATTGAGGAATATAAGGAAAATCTAACTCAGAAGAATGTTCACCTTCATTTATAAAAAAGAAAAGACTTAGAATGCCAGTAAAGAGGACTGTGGGGATAGTATTTAAAAACTAACACACAATAGGGAGAATATAAATTTCAGTGTAAGTTGAGCAAACTTATTTGAGCAAACTCCTGGAGACAATGGAGGACAGGAGAGCCTAGCTTGCTATGGTCCATGGGATTGCGAAGAGTCAGACATAATTTAGCGCCTGAATACCAACAAGAAAAGTTTCAGTAGCTTTTGGTTTGTACGCAGTGGATAAAATGGGCAGATTCAGAGGAAAAAGATAACCAAGTGGATATATTTGCTTCCTTTGGGAAAGCCAGTTTGGTGTAGTGGTGAAATCAGGAGGCTGAGTTCTTGTCCCACTGTAGACATGAAGCCATCTGGCTGACCTTGGGCCCTAGGAAGGAAATAATGGCAAACCTCTTCTGAAAAACCTTGTCAAAAAAACCAGCAACTTCCCCAGTCAGTTTCCAGGAGTCAAAAAGACTGCAGGGCACACACAGTGGAAGGAAAGTACCCTTCCATTCCAAAAAAAGTTTTGCATTCTATTCCTTATAGTCACTTTAAATACATCAAAGAGAAAAATAGATATGTACATTACAGTTTTTTCCCATCACACAAGAATCTATGTAACTTCATAGACCATAGAAATCCATGCTGTTTCTTGGTAACATTATAGAAATGGTTTGCCTTTTCAGGAATGTTGTTCAACTTTTCACATTCTATGGCCCCAGTATTCCCTGGAGTTTTCCCCTCCAACTATTAACCAGACCAGATCTTGCCTAGCTTCTAAACTCAAAGTCAGACATCTACTAAGATATATTAAGGGTAATAGCTATGTTCTAAGGCAGGGGTCTCCAACCTTGGCAACTTTAAGACTTGTGGACTTCAACTCCCAGAATGTGGAGTTGAAGTCCACAAGTCTTAAAGTTGCCAAGGTTGGAGACCCCTGTTCTAAGATCTGTCAGCCTCTGATTCACAGCGGAGTAACTATTCTAAACTTCTTAGCACATTAAAGTATATTTGTGGTGCTTGCAAATAAACCCTACCTCATTCCTTGCTCACATTGTTCACATTATGGTTATTTTAATAGGGCTATAATAAATGACTTTTTGTGCATGTGTGATGACAATCAGAAAGATTGTAAAAGCAGGATTGGTTCAAAGAGTCTTTCACTGGTAGTTGTTACTCCTGGGAATGAATGTGTATAGGCATTAATCTGTTTTCATTATTTATTGTTGAATTTATTGATCTTGTGTTGCAAAGTGCCAGAGGTCTTAAGGTATAGAAGCACTGTACGTAAATTAATTTTTAAAATTACCCATTAATTTAGAATAGGTGTGTAGAGATGCTTTTTCTGCTGTGGGTGCAACATTGTTGGGAAAAGGGGCGGGATAGACAACCTCATCACCAAATGGCTTACGGAGTGGAGTTGCTGAGATGCAGCTTTAGAAGAGAAGTGCCTTTTACATACTGACATCTGTTAGGCTGTCATTGCTGAAAAAGCTCCAATGGAAATTATCCTCGTAACAGTTTTGTTACTGATTCAGCTTTATGTATGAATCCCATACCTCAAAGTGTTAACTACTTATTTGGTTTCAACTTGTGAACAACTCTTGAGTACTTTTTCCTACAGAGCTTTTGTTAGAAAAAAAAATGGCATTCATCTAAAAAAGCATTCAATGTATCTGAATACTGGTATTTAAAAGAGTGTACAATTTGAACTTTAACTTTTTACTGGGTCACCCAGACAGCTCTCAACTTACTAGTTTATACTTTCATAGTTGAGTCCCTCCAAATCAGATCGTCTTTGTCTGAAACTTTCTGGTTGGTGGTCTCAGCTATTTAATTATTCCCTGCTAATGAAAAACCAAAAGGAGAACCCTTTAGCTCAGGGGACTCCGAACTTGGCAACTTTAAGACTTGTGGACTTCAACTCCCAGAATTCCTCAGCCAGCAAAAGCTGAGTTGAAATCCACAAGTCTTAAAATTCCCAAGTTTGGAGACCCCTGCTTTAGCTGTTTGCCCAACTGTTTGCCCAACAGCTGGTTGTCCAGCTGTTTGCCCAACTGGACAACTGCAAAGTCTGGCCTGGAGGTTTGAGAGGGGCTGGGAGATCAAATCTGGTTGTCAGATGTTTAACCAAATCTGACTTTGCTTCTCATGCAGGATCTATTGTGCATATGTGGTGCAGAGGAATGTCACGTGCACTCTTCAGGATGGAGTGGAGAGCTATGTGAAAGCTGAGTATCACAAGTGCAGCTGGGGACCCAAGTGCCCTGGAAAAGTCGTGTGAGTATAGCCAGGGATAAAGGTGTAGACATCTCTCAACATCCTTTGACCCAGTAGTGGGTTTCAGCCAGTGGTGGGTTGCTCCCAGTTCACACTGGTTCTATAGAACCGGTAGTAAAACCGGCGGGAGGCTCCACCCACTGACCCCGACGTCATCAAAATGTTTCTGCGCATGCGCAGAAGCTTCTGCACATGCACAGAAGAGTGTGCACGCGCGGCCCCACTGCGAACCGGTAGTAAAGGTAAGTAGAACCCACCCCTGGTTTCAGCAACTTTAAAAAGTTTGGAGAACCGGTAGTAAAAATTCTGAATGGCCCCGCCCCCATCTATTCTCTGCCTCCCAGTTCTCAGAGTGTGGCTTGTTGGGCATGGCATGGCTTGATGGCCGTGGTTTGGTGGGCGTGGCAGGGGAAGGATACTGTAAAATTTCCATTCCCACCCCACTCCAGGGGAAGGTTACTGCAAAATCCCCATTTCTTCCCAATCAGCTGGGACTCCGGAGACAGAGAATAGATGGTGGCAGGGCCAGTCAGAGGTAGTATTTATCAGTTCTCTGAACTCCTCAAAATTTCCGCTACCGGTTCTCCAGAACTGGTCAGAACCTGCTGAAAGCCACCTCTGATCTGTTTCTTATAAGTTATAATTTTTAAATCCACCTTAGAATTTACCTCTGTTATCTCCAGAAGGATTTGTTCAGTAAAGGTTTTTGTTCCAATACAGTTCAAATGCTTCACAGGCCCAGAGATCAAACAATTCCTTTAAAGTAGCCAACATGTGCACTAGTAATCGATCTTTAAAGTCTTGTTTGTAAACAAGATACAGTATATTGTTCCCACACAAGAAACCCTTTCTAATTAACTTCAAAGCCTTTCTTTAAATCAATTTCACAAAGCTTTTAGTATTTGTAAAGTTTTCCAGAAACCACTCTGGGATCACCTCTTTGCGGTATATTACAAGAAGTTACCAAAAAAATTAAGATCTTAAAAACCTAGAAGGATGTTACGTTCTTTCTTTTTAAATGGATTGAAGAGAATCCCACTCAGTGACCGAGACTCCTGTGATTCTGAAAGTTTTTTCAGTCTTAAACAAACAATAAGAAAGGTAAAACTCCAAAGTGATTAAAAAGACGAGGCTTGGTCAAACTGAGTCCTGAAAGGCTGCATTTATGGCTCAGAGCATGATGGAACCTTTGACTTCCAGTTGATTGCAAGTGGCTGTAAAAACAAGGATTTCTGTAGTCTGCTCACAAAAATCAGCCATACAAAGGACATCTGGGCAATATATAGCAATAGCACTTAGATTTATATACAGCTTCACAGTGCTTTCCAGCCCTCTCTAAGCGGTTTACAGAGTCAGCATATTGCCCCCAACAATCTGGGTCCTCATTTTACCAACCTCGGAAGGATGGAAGGCTGAGTCAACCTTGAGCCACTCAGAATCAAACTCCTGGCAGCGAGTCAGCCTGCAGTAAGTTCTGCATTCTAACTACTGCACCACCAAGGCTCTATGATAATATTAAAGTATAGTAGGTAGGAAGACAGGTAGGTAAATAAATAATATCCATGCATTTTACTGACCTCAGAAGGATGGAAGGCTAAGTCAACCTTGAGCCTGGTGAGATTCGAACTGCCAGATTGCAGGCAACCAGCAGTCAGCAGAAGTAGCCTGCAGTACTGCACTCTAAACACTGCACCACCACGGCTCAATATCCAGTTCTCTCTTTCTTCCAGAGAGAATTTTGATATATCCAAATTTGACCATAATGCCCCCACAAAAAATGTGGGGATTGGTTCTCGCATATCGCCTCACTAGATATTGTCTCTGTGAATAATGGGAGTTTTCTGATGGAAAACCACTCAATAGAGAGAAATAGATAAGACTTTCTCCATATATGAATGTGATGCTTATGTTGGGACCATTTAGGCATCCGTTTCCCATGCCTCCTTTGCTTTCCCACATCATATTTTAAGTGACAGAAGTGCTGTTGTGCTTAAAAATTGGAATGGATGCAATGCTTGCTTGCTTGCTTCCAACAAAGGCTCACACTAGCTAAGAGTCCAATAACTGCTCAGCATGATCATGTATTTCTTGGAAGTTGACCCAAATATAGCATAAATCTTTCTTGTATTATGGACTGGATCCAAAGAATTGTGAGTGAAAGGAAAATAGCTGTCAGCCCCATTCCATACATGCTTTCACAGACCTTTTATATGATTCTATTGGAGGTGGGTTCAATAGGAGTCGGTCAGTAGAAGCCTGGTCTGCAGCCAGGCTAACATTTTTGGAGGTAGCTTTACTTTCATTACGAGCCAGAAAGGCAAATGTTTGTAGATGCTTTCTGTATTTTTTCAATGTTACTCTGTGATTTCAGCACTGAAATGGTACAGAGATATATGATGATCATGTTGCTTGCTGTATATTGTCCATCCATACACACAATTTTCAGAAACGAAGAGAAAATGTAGACAGAAAGAGTATTTACAGTTTAGAAAGAAGGATAACAGGAAAAAGATGTGGAAAAGGAAGGAAGATTAAAATCAGGGGTGAAATTCTACCGGTTTGCATCGGTTCGGACAAACTGGTAGTGATAAAAGCTACCAGTTCGTCCAAACTGGTATTTCCAACAATCAGCTGAAAATCCTCCTTTCTAGCAATATAAATCACGTGGCACAGCTGTTTCCCCCCCCCCCGCCCCCGCTGTTCTACTTACCTTGTCAAGCCTTCTTTTTCCATGCAAAGCATGGGTTTGGCATGCACTGCACATGCACACATGCACAGCATGCTTTTGGCGCACACTGCATGCATGAGCAGCGAACCAGTGGCAATCCGCAGAACATTTCACCACTGATTAAAATGTATATGCAAGTTGTTACTATAGGAGAGGAGCTTTTTCTAAGCAGCCTCTCTCCAAATGTACAGGTAGTGCTCGACTTACAACAGTTCATTTAATAACCGTTCAAGGTTACAACAGCACTGAATAAAGTGATTTATGCCCATTTTTTACAGTTACAACCTTTGCAGCATTCCCATGGCCATGTGATCAAAATTCAGATGCTTGGCAGCTGGTTCGTATTTATGACGGTTGCTGTGTTCCAAGCAACTGTCATAAATATGTGATCCCCTTTTGCCACCTTCTGACAAGAAAAGTCAATGGGGAAGGCAGATTCACTTAACAGTCGGGTTACAAACTTAACAGCTTCAGTGATTCACTTAACAACTGTGACAAGAAATGTTGTAAAATGGGGCAAAACTCACTTAACAGTTGTCTCACTTAACAGAAATATTGGGTTCAATTGCGGTTGTAAGTTGGGGACTACCTGTATGAGGTTACATGGGGCTGATGGGAGCTGGCATTTACATACTATAAAGTGTCAAGGAATTCTACAGTATAATCCTGAGAAAAGTGATGATCATGCCAAGATTATGCAGAAAGGTGTACCAGGAATAATTTATTTATTTATTTATTTTTATTTATTTATTTAGCTTGTCAAGCATGTGTGAGAAAACAAGTATAAGTATGAACATAACATATAAACATATAAGTATAAACAGGTATAAGTATATACATGAGAAATGAGTACGAATAAATGGGAACAGTAGGACAGGGATGGTAGGCACGCTGGTGCACTTATGCACATCCCCTTTACAGACAAGTTTGACAAGTTTGAGATATAATCCAGGCAATCTATGCCAGAGAAATTATGTGTTTAACTTTTTTTAGTTGAAATCAGTAGAATTTGTGCATTCTTCCTATATGTATACAGATGGTGATTTCAGGGGTGGGTTCTACTTACCTTTACTACCGGTTTGCAACGGGAGCGTGCATGCATGCTCGATTCGCTCACGTGCGTGCGTGCACTTCTGTGCATGCGCAGATTGTTAATTATGACGTCCGGGTGGGTGGGCGGAGCCTCCCGCTGCTTTTATTACGGGTTCTAAAGAACCGGACAGAGAAAAATTTAAGAGATACTGTACATTGAGTCAAAACCCTGGCCTCTAAGCTATTTTTTCTTGCCATGCAAAAGAAAAAATAAATGTAAACTCTGTGGTGAGGTGTATATTGGGGGAGTGGGTGGGTAAGAATAAAGTGATTGAGTTCAAGAGCCAAAAATTGGGGAGAGCCAAGAGCTATGATCAATGGAAAAACTGATTACTTACAAACTATATTGCTGCACCATTGCATAAAACAGTAGCTTTGTTCTAGGTTCAAATAAGCCATTTTGGATCCAGGAAAAAATGCTTTCAAGAATACCCAATATACAGCCACACTGGTTTGGAGTGGTTATCAACCATGGCAAAATCCTGATGTGGAAGAGGATTTTCCACGAGGCAATTCATATGTGGCTTTGAAAAGTTAGGAAATTGACTAGTTTTAATTATTTTTATTGCTGCAGTGAAAAGCTATTCATTAATTTATTTGACATTTTTATAAATTGCTTCTCTAGCCATTGAATTCTTAAGGTGGTATAACAGTTCCTTACTTTAGCATAGGAAAAAAATATGTTCTAAATCTTAGGAACAGTGGTGACGCAGTGGTTAGAATGCAGTATTGCAGGCTAACTCTGCCCATAGCCAGGAGTTCAATCCTGACTGGCTCAGGATTGACACAGTCTTCCATCCTTCTGGGTCAGTAAATGAGGACCCTGACTGTTAAGAGCAGTGTGCTGACTATGTAAGCCACTTAGAGTGGGCTGTAAAGCACTATGAAGTGGTATATAAGTCTCAGTGCTATTGCTAAATCTTACAGATTTCAGTGAGAGAGCTAAAACAGGTGATTTACTAGCTCTGTTAATGGACCTTAGAATAGAATAGAATAGAATTTTTTTTTGGCCAAGTGTGATTGGACACACAAGGAATTTGTCTTGGTGCATATGCTCTTAGTGTACATGAAAGAAAAGATACGTTCATCAAGAGTCATAAGGTACAATGAAAATCATAGGGTACAAATAAGCAATCAAATCATATTAGGAAACAGTCAATATAAATTGTAAGGATACAAG